GGTCACAACGAGGAGGACGGGGAAGACGAAGGCGAAGGGGACACTGGTCACTGCGACATGGAACGTTCGGTCCTTGGTGGAGGACGCTGGTGATGCCAAAATATGCCGTAAAAATAAAAATGTCTCGGATACCGCCGTTGACAGGAAACTGGATTTTCTTGTGGAGGAACTCGGCAGGTTCGGCGTGGACGTTGCTGGTATTCAGGAGACGAAATGGTTTGGAAGCGACGTCTGGCCTGCTGGGAGCGGTACGTTGTTACACTCTGGGAGGCCTTTGCCTTTGGGGAGTGAGCCCGGCCGCCGGAACGAGGGAGTTGGAATTTTGATGAATTCCGCCGTGACCGGGATGTGGAAGAGCGGAGGGGAGCAGTGGAGCGCCGTCAGTTCGCGTATTGTCACTGCTCGTCTTCTTGTCGCCAAGCGAGGTGATAAACTCCCTGGTGGAGGTAAGCGACACGCAGATTTCTGTGTCTCTATCGTCAATGTTTATGCTCCAACGAGTAAAGCCCCACCGAACGTAAGACGCAAGTTTTTCGATGACTTGCAACGAGTTGTGGACAGTATCCCATCCAGAGATGTTCTTGTGCTCCTTGGGGATTTGAACGCGCGCGTCGGGTCCAGCACTGACTATGCAGACAGCGCTGTGAGTCGTATCGATGGCATGCCAGGGGATGAGCGGATGTGGGGTTGTGTCTTGGGCCAATTTGGCCTTGGAAATTGCAATCGGGCTGGTGAGGAGCTGTTGTCATTCTGTGCAGCTAATCAATTGTCAGTAATGAATACATGGTACAAGAAGGGACGAAGTAAGCGTGGAACATGGACTCATCCAGCCACTCGCCAAGTGCATCTCATTGATTATGTCATCATGCGTACAGCTCATTGCTGCTACTGTAAGGACGTTGGTGTTGTCCGCGGCGCACTGTGCTGGACTGACCACTACATGGTTCGGGCCAAGCTTGTCCTGGACTTCGTCCAACGTAGATCCACTGTCCCTAAGCGGAGGTCGTATGCCACCCATCGCCTGCGTGAGCCTGATACGTTACTGCAGTACCGAGAGTCAATGGAGGCAGCCTGTGGTGGCGCGGTCGGTGGTGGCCAGAGTGTTGAAGAGACCTGGAATTCCCTTCGTGATGACATCACCAGCGTAGCGGAGAGAACACTGGGCCATGGTCGGCGGCGGCAACCAGACTGGTTTCTGGAGAATAGGGCAGCATTGGAGCCACTTATTGAGGCGAAGCGACGTGCCCATGAACGAATGTTGTCGGCAGGCAATCAAACGACACGTTCCGGATTTAGATCAGCCCAGCGGTCGGTTGCGAGGGCGGTGCGTGGTGCAAAGGAACAATGGATCCGTGAGGTGGTCGGTGATGCTGAGCGTGCTCAAAGGGATGGCTGTGTGAGGTGGAAATGCATCCGAAAATTGCAGCGAGTGGATGATGGCAGGCGTACGGTCACACCCTCGGCGGTTTATGATGGAGACGGACACCTTACTGACAGCCCGGAAAGTCTTGTTACGCGTTGGCATGCACACTTCGACAGAGTGCTCAACATTGCTAGTCAGTTTAGTATGCATGTCATTGATAACATGCCTACTGCTGAGCCGCGTCATGAACTTGACATGGCCCCGACATTTGAGGAGGTGATGGCTGCGATGCGGAGGATGAGTAGGGGCACGGCTGGTGGCTCGTCAGGTATTGTGCCGGAATTGGTGCTGGGTGGCGGTCTTGCTCTCCACCGGCGTATTCATTCTCTGATTTCCCAGATTTGGGCAGGTGGCTCCGTTGTTTCTGAGTGGCGCGACGCTGAGATTGTACCCATACCGAAGAAAGGCGACCTACGGTCATGTGACAATTGGCGAGGCATCAGCCTGTTGGATGTAGTCGGTAAGCTGTTTGCACGGGTTATCCAGGATCGCCTTCAGGAACTGTCCGAGGATGTGCTGCCTGAGTCACAGTGCGGTTTTAGGAAGGGACGTGGGTGCGTCGACATGGTGTTTGTGGCGCGCCAGCTAATCGAGAAGGCCATCGAACATGATACGCCACTGTATGTCATATTTGTCGACCTGAAGAAGGCTTATGACAGCATACCTCGTGAGGCGTTGTGGCTTGTCCTCGGGAAGCTCGGTATTCCACCTACCCTTCTCAGCTTGATTCGGTCCCTACATGTCGGCATGAGGGCTCGGGTTCGTATATCTGGTCGCTTGACGGAGGACATATATGTTAACAATGGTCTTCGCCAAGGCTGTACTCTTGCCCCCACCCTATTCAATCTGTATTTTGCTGCCGTAATGTCGTCTTGGCGTTCCCGCTCTTCTGTTCCCGGCGTGTCCCTGCGCTCACGCCCTGGCCGGAAGCTTGTTGGGGATCGAACAACCAAGGCGCGACTGAACACGTACCAAGTTACCGAGTCCCAGTTCGCTGATGATGCCGCTGTATACACCACATCAAGAGAACATCTGGAGACCCTGGCAAACGAGTTCATCGCCTGTGCCTCTCAGTGGGGTCTCACTGTCAGCATCGCCAAGACAAAGGCCATAGCAGTCGGCCCGGGGGACCTACAACCTGATGTCGTCCTCGATGATGGTGGAGTTGTGGAGATGGTCTCCGGCTTTACTTACCTCGGTAGTGTGGTGAGTTGCGATGGGTCACTGGACGTGGAGATCACCTCCCGCTTGGCCAAGGCATCTCGTGTGTTTGGTTGCCTCCTGACCCCGATTTTCCGGTGCCGGGGTTTATCCATCGACATTAAGTGCACGGTATATCGCGCTTTTGTCCTGAGCACTCTGTTCTACGGTGCAGAGACATGGGCTGTGAAGGCTACCCACGTCCATCGGCTGACCGTCTTCCATCGCTCCTGTATTCGGTCTATCCTCGGTGTATCGCGGATCCAGCAGTGGGAGGACAGGCTCACATCGGCAGAATTGGGCAGGCGATTTGGCATGTCTCTTGACATCTCCGATTTGCTCCGACAGCATCGTCTGCGCTGGCTGGGGCACATTGCCCGTATGGAGGAACACCGCACTCCGCAGCAGATGGTATTTGGCGAGTTATATGCCACTCGCCCCCGCCACGGTCCGAAGAAGCGATGGCGTGACGTTGTTGTCACTGATCTAGCTGCGGCACAGATCGGAGAGGGAGAATGGTTCCATCAAGCCCAGGATCGCCCAACCTGGAAGCGGTTGTGTCGTCAGCAGCCTCCTCCACCCGGACCGAAAGAGTTCCGTTGCGCATGTGGCCGTCCCTTTGGCCGCATTGGGGACCTGAGGAGGCACGCCCCCCACTGCCGCGTCTGAGCCATCATCGCTACGCGATGGGCGTCCAAGGTCCAAGGTGTGTGTGTGTGTGTGTGTGTGTGTGTGTGTGTGTGTGTGTGTGTGTGTGTGTGTGTGTGTGTGTGTGTGTGTGTGTGTGTGTGTGTGTGTGTGTGTGTGTGTGTGTGTGTGTGTGTGTGTGTGTGTGTGTGTGTGTGTGTGTGTGTGTGTGTGTGTGTGTGTGTGTGTGTGTGTGTGTGTGTGTGTGTGTGTGTGTGTGTGTGTGTGTGTGTGTGTGTGTGTGTGTGTGTGTGTGTGTGTGTGTGTGTGTGTGTGTGTGTGTGTGTGTGTGTGTGTGTGTGTGTGTGTGTGTGTGTGTGTGTGTGTGTGTGTGTGTGTGTGTGTGTGTGTGTGTGTGTGTGTGTGTGTGTGTGTGTGTGTGTGTGTGTGTGTGTGTGTGTGTGTGTGTGTGTGTGTGTGTGTGTGTGTGTGTGTGTGTGTGTGTGTGTGTGTGTGTGTGTGTGTGTGTGTGTGTGTGTGTGTGTGTGTGTGTGTGTGTGTGTGTGTGTGTGTGTGTGTGTGTGTGTGTGTGTGTGTGTGTGTGTGTGTGTGTGTGTGTGTGTGTGTGTGTGTGTGTGTGTGTGTGTGTGTGTGTGTGTGTGTGTGTGTGTGTGTGTGTGTGTGTGTGTGTGTGTGTGTGTGTGTGTGTGTGTGTGTGTGTGTGTGTGTGTGTGTGTGTGTGTGTGTGTGTGTGTGTGTGTGTGTGTGTGTGTGTGTGTGTGTGTGTGTGTGTGTGTGTGTGTGTGTGTGTGTGTGTGTGTGTGTGTGTGTGTGTGTGTGTGTGTGTGTGTGTGTGTGTGTGTGTGTGTGTGTGTGTGTGTGTGTGTGTGTGTGTGTGTGTGTGTGTGTGTGTGTGTGTGTGTGTGTGTGTGTGTGTGTGTGTGTGTGTGTGTGTGTGTGTGTGTGTGTGTGTGTGTGTGTGTGTGTGTGTGTGTGTGTGTGTGTGTGTGTGTGTGTGTGTGTGTGTGTGTGTGTGTGTGTGTGTGTGTGTGTGTGTGTGTGTGTGTGTGTGTGTGTGTGTGTGTGTGTGTGTGTGTGTGTGTGTGTGTGTGTGTGTGTGTGTGTGTGTGTGTGTGTGTGTGTACCGTACTGGCGCGATTAGAGCCCTCTCTTGAACAGTAACCTACCGTTGTGCCGCGTATAAAAGTAGGTGCTTACGGCCGTATAAGCCGGGGTTCAAACCATGCCTCTATTCGAGGTATGCTTCTATTCAAAACATGCTTCTACGCTGACATCATCAGTGTACGATGTGCAATGCATACTGCCACGCATGTACTCTGCAAGTACGTGGACGTGTCTTTGCAGAGAGCGGCTTCTATTGAAATCATGCTTCTGTGCCAGCGTGCTTGAAAAAAATCGGCTTCTATTCAAGTCACGCTTTTATACAGGTCATGCTTTTATACGCGACACACAGTATCTCGAATAGTGCCTCAGTCTCTAAGAGCCAGTGAAAATAATGGAGCCCTCTCTTGAATAGCGCCCTCCCCAAGTCCACAAGCCAAGTCAATATTATTGTCTTGACCGGTAAACACAATAATATTGACTGTGTTTCGCTTTCCTACCACCCTCCTTGCTTCGGTGTGCATGTTTCAGCTTCTTGTCCGTGGCACTCATCATTGCGTTCCTGTACTCGACATCGCTCTTTCTCAACTCCATCCTAGTGGCTCAGCTCAGCGAGACGTACCAGGCGGTAAGGTTGTGATCATTCTGACATTCCAGCCCTCCATGTACATATGGGACAGTAATTGCTTTTCACTACCTTATCATTGAAGTGAGACTTTTGTAAGACACCCCGCTCAAAGGGCCTCCAGAATGTGGTCTTCGTTACCAGGTGTTCTCCTTATCCAGGGTCCTTTGACTAGAAATAGTACCCCTTGGTCCTGGTTGTAGTTGTCCTCTTGGACAGGTGATCGCCTTATCAGAGTGGTCGCCTTGACAGGTTTTACCAAGAGTACATACCCCCCCCCCCCCCCCCCCCAGAGTGTGCAACGCCTGATCCAGCTCTGCATAGGGTCTTGGTTGAGCGTAATCGGATCTTTGCGTCATAATACCGTACACATCTGAGGGAAACCCGGGGAGTCGCTGGTACTCTCGGATCAAAAATAATGGTGCCCTGCCTCGAGACCGGCCTTGTGCTGGTGTGGAGTGTGCGCATGACATCAGAAGATCTGATTACGCTCGACCAAGACCCTTTGCAGAGCTGGATCAGGCGTTGCACACTCTCGGAGGGGTTATGTATTCTTGGTTTTACTGTAGCGTATGAATAGTGCTTGTACTGGGGAAACGCTCTCCACTGCTTGTACTGGGGAAACACTCTCCACTGCTTGTACTGGGGAAACGCTCTCCATTGCTTGTACTGGGGAAACGCTCTCCATTGCTTGTACTGGGGAAACGCTCTCCATTGCTTGTACTGGGGAAACGCTCTCCACTGCTTGTACTGGGGAAACGCTCTCCATTGCTTGTACTGGGGAAACGCTCTCCATTGCTTGTACTGTGGAAACGCTCTCCACTGCTTGTACTGGGGAAACGCTCTCCACTGCTTGTACTGGGGAAACGCTCTCCACTGCTTGTACTGGGGAAACGCTCTCCATTGCTTGTACTGGGGAAACGCTCTCCATTGCTTGTACTGTGGAAACGCTCTCCATTGCTTGTACTGTGGAAACGCTCTCCACTGCTTGTACTGGGGAAACGCTCTCCACTGCTTGTACTGGGGAAACGCTCTCCACTGCTTGTACTGGGGAAACGCTCTCCATTGCTTGTACTGGGGAAACGCTCTCCATTGCTTGTACTGTGGAAACGCTCTCCATTGCTTGTACTGTGGAAACGCTCTCCACTGCTTGTACTGGGGAAACGCTCTCCACTGCTTGTACTGGGGAAACGCTCTCCATTGCTTGTACTGGGGAAACGCTCTCCATTGCTTGTACTGGGGAAACGCTCTCCATTGCTTGTACTGGGGAAACGCTCTCCACTGCTTGTACTGGGGAAACACTCTCCACTGCTTGTACTGGGGAAACGCTCTCCATTGCTTGTACTGGGGAAACGCTCTCCACTGCTTGTACTGGGGAAACGCTCTCCACTGCTTGTACTGGGGAAACGCTCTCCATTGCTTGTACTGGGGAAACGCTCTCCACTGCTTGTACTGGGGAAACGCTCTCCATTCCTTGTACTGGGGAAACGCTCTCCACTGCTTGTACTGGGGAAACGCTCTCCACTGCTTGTACTGGGGAAACGCTCTCCATTGCTTGTACTGGGGAAACGCTCTCCATTGCTTGTACTGTGGAAACGCTCTCCACTGCTTGTACTGGGGAAACGCTCTCCATTGCTTGTACTGGGGAAACGCTCTCCACTGCTTGTACTGGGGAAACGCTCTCCATTGCTTGTACTGGGGAAACGCTCTCCACTGCTTGTACTGGGGAAACGCTCTCCATTGCTTGTACTGTGGAAACGCTCTCCACTGCTTGTACTGGGGAAACGCTCTCCATTGCTTGTACTGTGGAAACGCTCTCCATTGCTTGTACTGTGGAAACGCTCTCCACTGCTTGTACTGGGGAAACGCTCTCCATTGCTTGTACTGGGGAAACGCTCTCCACTGCTTGTACTGGGGAAACGCTCTCCATTGCTTGTACTGGGGAAACGCTCTCCACTGCTTGTACTGGGGAAACGCTCTCCACTGCTTGTACTGGGGAAACGCTCTCCACTGCTTGTACTGGGGAAACGCTCTCCATTGCTTGTACTGGGGAAACGCTCTCCATTGCTTGTACTGGGGAAACGCTCTCCATTGCTTGTACTGGGGAAACGCTCTCCACTGCTTGTACTGGGGAAACGCTCTCCATTGCTTGTACTGGGGAAACGCTCTCCATTGCTTGTACTGGGGAAACGCTCTCCATTGCTTGTACTGTGGAAACGCTCTCCATTGCTTGTACTGTGGAAACGCTCTCCATTGCTTGTACTGTGGAAACGCTCTCCACTGCTTGTACTGGGGAAACGCTCTCCATTGCTTGTACTGGGGAAACGCTCTCCACTGCTTGTACTGGGGAAACGCTCTCCATTGCTTGTACTGGGAAAACGCTCTCCATTGCTTGTACTGGGGAAACGCTCTCCACTGCTTGTACTGGGGAAACGCTCTCCATTGCTTGTACTGGGGAAACGCTCTCCATTGCTTGTACTGGGGAAACGCTCTCCATTGCTTGTACTGGGGAAACGCTCTCCATTGCTTGTACTGGGGAAACGCTCTCCACTGCTTGTACTGGGGAAACGCTCTCCATTGCTTGTACTGGGGAAACGCTCTCCATTGCTTGTACTGTGGAAACGCTCTCCACTGCTTGTACTGGGGAAACGCTCTCCACTGCTTGTACTGGGGAAACGCTCTCCACTGCTTGTACTGGGGAAACGCTCTCCATTGCTTGTACTGGGGAAACGCTCTCAATTGCTTGTACTGGGGAAACGCTCTCCACTGCTTGTACTGGGGAAACGCTCTCCACTGCTTGTACTGGGGAAACGCTCTCCACTGCTTGTACTGTGGAAACGCTCTCCATTGCTTGTACTGTGGAAACGCTCTCCATTGCTTGTACTGGGGAAACGCTCTCCACTGCTTGTACTGTGGAAACGCTCTCCATTGCTTGTACTGGGGAAACGCTCTCCACTGCTTGTACTGGGGAAACGCTCTCCATTGCTTGTACTGTGGAAACGCTCTCCACTGCTTGTACTGTGGAAACGCTCTCCACTGCTTGTACTGTGGAAACGCTCTCCACTGCTTGTACTGGGGAAACGCTCTCCATTGCTTGTACTGGGGAAACGCTCTCCACTGCTTGTACTGTGGAAACGCTCTCCATTGCTTGTACTGGGGAAACGCTCTCCATTGCTTGTACTGGGGAAACGCTCTCCACTGCTTGTACTGGGGAAACGCTCTCCACTGCTTGTACTGGGAAAACGCTCTCCATTGCTTGTACTGTGGAAACGCTCTCCATTGCTTGTACTGGGGAAACGCTCTCCATTGCTTGTACTGGGAAAACGCTCTCCATTGCTTGTACTGGGGAAACGCTCTCCACTGCTTGTACTGGGGAAACGATCTCCACTGCTTGTACTGGGGAAACGATCTCCACTGCTTGTACTGGGGAAACGCTCTCCTCTGCTTGTACTGGGGAAACGCTCTCCACTGCTTGTACTGGGGAAACGCTCTCCATTGCTTGTACTGGGGAAACGCTCTCCATTGCTTGTACTGGGGAAACGCTCTCCATTGCTTGTACTGGGGAAACGCTCTCCACTGCTTGTACTGGGGAAACGCTCTCCATTGCTTGTACTGGGGAAACGCTCTCCATTGCTTGTACTGTGGAAACGCTCTCCACTGCTTGTACTGGGGAAACGCTCTCCACTGCTTGTACTGGGGAAACGCTCTCCATTGCTTGTACTGGGGAAACGCTCTCCACTGCTTGTACTGGGGAAACGCTCTCCACTGCTTGTACTGGGGAAACGCTCTCCATTGCTTGTACTGGGGAAACGCTCTCCACTGCTTGTACTGGGGAAACGCTCTCCACTGCTTGTACTGTGGAAACGCTCTCCACTGCTTGTACTGTGGAAACGCTCTCCATTGCTTGTACTGGGGAAACGCTCTCCACTGCTTGTACTGTGGAAACGCTCTCCATTGCTTGTACTGGGGAAACGCTCTCCACTGCTTGTACTGTGGAAACGCTCTCCATTGCTTGTACTGGGGAAACGCTCTCCACTGCTTGTACTGGGGAAACGCTCTCCATTGCTTGTACTGTGGAAACGCTCTCCACTGCTTGTACTGTGGAAACGCTCTCCATTGCTTGTACTGTGGAAACGCTCTCCACTGCTTGTACTGGGGAAACGCTCTCCACTGCTTGTACTGGGGAAACGCTCTCCATTGCTTGTACTGTGGAAACGCTCTCCACTGCTTGTACTGGGGAAACGCTCTCCACTACTTGTACTGTGGAAACGCTCTCCATTGCTTGTACTGGGGAAACGCTCTCCATTGCTTGTACTGGGGAAACGCTCTCCACTGCTTGTACTGGGGAAACGCTCTCCACTGCTTGTACTGGGAAAACGCTCTCCATTGCTTGTACTGTGGAAACGCTCTCCATTGCTTGTACTGGGGAAACGCTCTCCACTGCTTGTACTGGGGAAACGCTCTCCATTGCTTGTACTGGGGAAACGCTCTCCACTGCTTGTACTGGGGAAACGCTCTCCATTGCTTGTACTGTGGAAACGCTCTCCACTGCTTGTACTGGGGAAACGCTCTCCATTGCTTGTACTGTGGAAACGCTCTCCATTGCTTGTACTGTGGAAACGCTCTCCACTGCTTGTACTGGGGAAACGCTCTCCATTGCTTGTACTGGGGAAACGCTCTCCACTGCTTGTACTGGGGAAACGCTCTCCATTGCTTGTACTGGGGAAACGCTCTCCACTGCTTGTACTGGGGAAACGCTCTCCACTGCTTGTACTGGGGAAACGCTCTCCACTGCTTGTACTGGGGAAACGCTCTCCATTGCTTGTACTGGGGAAACGCTCTCCATTGCTTGTACTGGGGAAACGCTCTCCATTGCTTGTACTGGGGAAACGCTCTCCACTGCTTGTACTGGGGAAACGCTCTCCATTGCTTGTACTGGGGAAACGCTCTCCATTGCTTGTACTGGGGAAACGCTCTCCATTGCTTGTACTGTGGAAACGCTC